GGATTCTATAATTTTGGTGAATATTTTTGTCATATTTGGTAAAAAGTGATATTTTTGACTTCTTGTTAAAAACCAAAAGTTCAATTGCTTTGATATTACATATATAGATACTACATGTAGACCTTTCTCAGATTTGTTCATTTCGCGATGATATCTTTAATTCTCTAATTTTGGTGAATATTTTGGTCATTTTTGGTAGAAAGTGATATTTTCGACTTCTTGTTAAAAACTGTAAGTCCGATTGCTTTGATACTATACATATTGTTCATTTTCTGATGATGTCTTCAGTTCTTTAATTAAAATGTGCATTTCTAACAGCGGAGCTATCTCAGCCGATAGGCTGCTTGTTTTTTTTAATATTCAAAGCTGAGCATAGATATATACATTTGTGTACTGTACACTTTCCCATGAACAGCGTTGAGGGCAGCATTTATAAGTTAAATCTCAGAACATGGTTGGGGGGAGGGATGAGAGTTTTCAATTATATTTTCATTTTTTTAACAGGAATGATGTTACCTGCAATTTTCATAGTACTGACTGGTTATATTGGATGTAACAATGTTTTAGCTGTTTTGTGTCTGACTTTAGCTGTTTCAACTGGTGGTTTAAACATGTCTGGTTTCAATATTAACCATTTGGACATAGCTCCTCAGTATTCAGGAATTCTGATGGGCATCACCAATATGTTTGCAACGATCCCTGGTTTTGTTGGTCCCTTGATAGTTGGAGAGTTGACAAATGAACAGGTACTTACTGATAGAGAATTTTTAATATATTCCCACTTTGTATTATCTGTAGAAAACTTCTCGCTGACCTCTGTAAACATCATAAGACTTGGATTTGGTACGGCTCTTGTGAAATTGTATCTATAAACAGGATGTTGAAATCAAATTTAGAGCTTTTTTTAAAATAGTAATTACAACAATGGAAATTATGTTTGATTTGGTGGTTAGACACCTAACCCTTCACTGCAGGCTAGCTTCAGTTTCCCAATATTTTAGAATTTGTTGTTGCCATAGCAACTATTTTTATAATTTTTCATGGTGATCACAATAATCAGTAAGATGTGTTTCAAATATAATACAAAGTATGAATCCAACTTTAAAAAAGTTTTAAAACTGATTTTGATAATTCCTTGAACAGGTGTTATCATTCATATTAATTTTGCAGATGAGATACTACTCCATGTGAAAATTTCTGCTCACAAATCTTCTAAGAGAATTTGCCAATAAATATTGATTTGTGTTTGGAATAGGGCGCGAGTCGAGATAGGGTCCAGAAAACTTGATGGATTATTTACGTTATTACATGTAATATTAGGTTTTAAGGTAGAAGCCTACTCATGAATGAAAACATCCAGAGTTTATTCATTTTCAAAAAGTTGTACTTCTGGGCATTATAAGGATATTGACTTACAAAAAGTTGGGGTTCACCAGCTTAAATTTTGAGAAAATTATAGTGGCCATTTTGACAGTATTATAATTTGTTTACCATAGGTTACTATGGCAGAGATATTATGCCACATCTCAAATTGTAGGCTGGTGACTTGGGCTGAAAATAAATGTATATATTGTGAATGATGAGGTACTTATTGTTGTCCTGAAATGTATCAAAAATCTGGGTTTTAAAATGTGTCAAAAAATGTATTTTTTCATTAATATTGTGCTCTATGGAATTGTTCCAAAAATAGCGATTTTTGAAAAATATTTGGACAAGTTTCTCAAAATACTTCAATATAACACACTATAATGCTGTTTTATAGTGTTGTGGGACAGTAGTTGATGATTTTACATTATAGACCAATGAACATTGTCATGCCATTTTATAGTGTTGTGGGACAGTAGTTGATGATTTTACATTATAGACCAATGAACACTGTCATGCCATTTTATAGTGTTGTGGGACAGTAGTTGATGATTTTACATTATAGACCAATGAACACTGTCATGCCATTTTATAGTGTTGTGGGACAGTAGTTGATGATTTGACATTATAGACCAATGAACATTGTCATGCCATTTTTTACCAATGTTCTCAAAAATTATGAGTAGGCTTCCACCTTTTCACCACCAGACTTTCTCGCCAAATCTGTCTGCACTTTTATTGTCATATTCTTCAATATTTCTAGTAATGAATCCTAATTTTGGAGCCAACAGACAAAATTTTAATAAATTTTCAGTTTTTACTCAAAGAATTTTTGCCTAAATCTGAAAAGTGCAGACTATAAATGGGACTATTTTGTAAAATTTATACTGAAAAGGGTAAGGGTTGCAGAGTCCAAAAAAGTACACTAAATAAACAAAAAAGCATGTGTTAGAGACATACCCATGGAGAATTTGATTTGCCAGTACTTTTTTTTTCATACGGATTAAAAAAAAAAAAAAAAGAGTTGTAAAGCAGAAATTTTTGTTTGGCAGATTTTTTTCTTTTAATGTAAAAATGTTGAACACGTGTTCTTGGGGAAAAATTTGTAAAACAATATTTCACTATTCTCACCAAGTTTATGTGCATACTTCCAGGTACTAATGAATATTGATAATTGAGTGAAATTTTTATTTGAAATCAAAACACAGGAAATACTTTATTGTGTAACCACTTTAACAATTTTATTTTTAGGAAACACGCCACCAATGGCAAATTGTATTCTACATATGCGCAGGAGTATACGTTATGGGTATGACAACATTTCTGTTCCTGGGAACGGGCGTACAACAGCCATGGGCCAATGCCGTCCCACAAGTGGTGCATCATGACAATGAATCTGAAAGCGAAGATGAGGTGAAGGTGAACTCGTATGTGAAATACGCTGATGACGAAGAACCCTTGCACACCGCTGTCAACTGAATACCATTAAGATCTAACTTTTTGTTTAAAGCGGGGGGGTCGTCACCTGCGCATGTGTCAGATGGCCATAGCATGTCATTGTTTACAAACTAGTGTCTATCCATGAGCCTTTGCATTTTTAGCGTTGTTATCATCGCTTGGGACTCAATTCCCGCTTTAAATGGAGATGCTAAATTGTTCGAGTAATAGACATCAAGTTAAGACCTTTGAGTTACGAAAAACCATGCTCAAATTATAATTCAATGTTTAAACAGCAACACAATTCAAAGATCAGTTAACTGTTAATTGAACATTGATTTATAATTTGGGCGTGGTTTTTAAAATATGGGCGTAACTCAATGTCCTCAACTTAAACAATTTAGCATCTCATTTAAAATAAAGCATATATTTACATGCATACTATTTACAAGTAATATTTACTTTGCGCATTTAATTTCTTGAAAGAACACAAACCATGAAAAGCAATCATCTTTTATTCCAAAACGAGTCAGATTTGTACATTTACATTCCATGCTTTGGTTTCTAGGATCCATGGAGTTATGTAGAATCAACAGTTGTACCCCTTGCATCGAGGCATAATATGTAATTAAAAGAACATTGCAAAGTGTGCAGAAAGGCAGTATGGTGGTCATATCGATTCTAGAGATTGACGTGATCCTTCACTGCCTAAGTGCATACTTTACAGTTTTCTCCTTGTATATTGTAGTCATAATATATCCTGAAATGTCGGCACAAAGCGTTTTATGAGATCAGCGCCACCAAGTGTCTGCAACTATTAGCATTTGTGACACAACTTGACCACAAGTTGATTGGCTGTATGGTCGTTACAGAAATGCAATGTGAAGCTTTATATGTATTCTCAGAATTCAAAGCACACCATGCATTCAAACTTTATTCTGACCAATAGTATAACAGTTGCTCATCTTTTCATGAAATGAATGTTGAAATCACTGCTGTAATATGCACATTATAATTGTCCAAATGTCCACTTTTGGATTTGAAGTCATTGAGAAAGATAAATTTAACAGGATCTGTTTACAACTACTATTAGGTTTTTACTGTTTGGGGTTTCCAATGAACTCTTCAGGGCCTTTAAAGAATTTCCTTTCTATCATATTTCCCCCATTAGAAGCACTTGTGCTGGTAAAGGGTTGATATATATATGGTCAAATTAAGTAATATTTTAATGGTCTTTTATAAATGCAATAATTTATGTGCAATTCTATTATAAATGTGTTTCTAATCTAATAGGGAAAATCTGATAATTGCTAATGCAGCTAAAATACAGTACAGAGTAGCTGAGAAAAAACTGGTTATTTCTATAGTCTGTTCTCTAGAAATGTAACTGTCTCACTCCACTATTATGTTTGGTTTATGTGCAATTCCATTAAGAATAGAGCAAATCTGATAAAATAACAGTTTCTTCCATATATTGGGGAGTAAGAAAATCATAAATATAAACTATATTATTTGGAAGGTTTATAATGTCTCCCAATGCATTAATGTCAATGTTTCTTGGCATTCAAACTTCCTAACACAGACTATCAGATTCCTAATCACTACTATCAGAATTTGGGGTTTTGATGATGTCACAGCTTTATATTAACACAAGTTAATGTAAACCTCTATTCACAAGTAAATTCATTTCAACAAAAAGTGTCTAATTCAAGTTTGTATTATTATGATAGTGGTGATACAATAATGAATCCTGCACAGTATCATGTGTTTAGCTTAGCCTCGTACGTTATCTTGCCATAGAACCTTCTCCTTATTAGATATGGTCTTGCAATGGTTTCATTATCATTTGATTGAAATGTTTCAGTTTTTTAGAGGAATCCGATTACTTGTCATTGGCCGTAAAGAATAGTGGTTGTTGGTTTCTATGTGATATTTACAATACATGTAGAATACACTGTTTATGAAAAATTTGAATAAGCAATGCATCATGACCTCTGACCTTTTTAATATAATACAAAATAAATTCCGTTTGCATAATTTTGCCACATGCTTTTAAAAAAAAAGTATTAAGTTCTAAGTTTAAAAAAAGTAATTGACTGAAAATACAAATGTTCAATAAATTTTTTGGCAGAAAGAAATATTTAAATGATTACTGCAGGGCAACACAATCTATCTGTAAACAAAAAGGTTGAATTTTATTGTAAAGTTGTGATATAATAAACTACAAAACATTTTAATGTATTTTATTTTCACAATAAAAATATATCAGTTTTTATCAAATCCTGAATGTTTTCTTTTCTCTACTCGGATGTTTTTGGTTTTTCGCTTGATGCCACACTAGTCATTTCATTTCCAGTTACGATGTGTAATGGATTTAAGTCAGATGCCAGTAAAAAAACCAAAACAGACTGAATTGTGATACTTTAAGTACTATTTTTTCTTTGCATCAACAACGTTTCTGTCATCCTAAATTCTGTTATCAGTTATTAGTCCTCGTTTAACTCAGTCCGAAAACTGGGACTGCGTGCGTGCGTGCGTGCGTGCGTGCGTGCGTGCGTGCGTGCGTGCGTGCAGACCTGTATCTTAGAAATGCCTGGACCAATCACAATCGAACTTCACACATACATCATACATGATATTATACATATGCACATCAATTTGTTTCATGATCCAGATGAATTTTGTTAAAAATTGGTATATACTTTAGACATTATAGGACCTTGATGCACATAATTTTGTTTTTCAGATAACATTCAAAATGGCTGACTGGCGGCCATTTTGTTTTAATGAATGTGGTTCTCGTGCCACATCTCTGACTTGCTTTGACTGATTATGTTAAAATTTTAAATATTCATTATAGATCATGTCATAGATATACAGATATATTGGTTTGACGATCCTATGGTCGAATGGTGGCCATTTTTGTGCTAAAAAATCATCAAAATCAAGCATTTCCCGGCTGTTTACAGATGAATTTTGTTCAAACCTTGTATATATGTTGGACATTATAGAACCTTGATGCACATTATTTTGTTTTACGATCTGATTCAAGATGGCCGAATGGCGGCCATTTTTGTGCTAAATCATATTCCTGACATGGTTATATTCCAGCTATATTACTATAAACAAAACTATATATCTTAAATTTGATAACTAACGGGGACTATGCCATGCATGGCTGGTTCACTCAAACAATTTTTTTGATCAACTTCCTGGACATCCAAAATGACGCACACAAGCGCCCATGCACATACTCATGCACACAGAAACATGTGCACGCACACATGCACACGTGTCTTACCGTAGTTGTGACAACACACATTGGATTAACTTTTAATATAGTTGCGATATGAACTTGATTAAAATGTGTTCCTATATAGGGGTGCGTTTTAATTGTAGTTTAATTAAACTCAATAACAATGCAATACAACGTAGAATTGCATTATAATTAAGTTTAATAAAAGTTGAATATCCCCAGACATAGAAATGTTTGCGAAGCTTAGGTTTAGTAACGAGGAAGGTATGGTACAATTATATTAATATGAATTGAACCATGCCATCCCTCTTTACTAAACCTAAGCTACGCAAAACATTAATAATCAAATTAACTAATAATATAAATTATGTTTTCCCAGAGGACCATGAAAAAGGTCCTTAGAAGGTGTGCAAGTCCTCGGAAGTTGGTATTAAAAACAATGTCCACAGTTTACACCTTTCACACACACATACGGATGGACATCTGTTTTGCATTAACTTCACTCAACAAACACAACATGATAGGTCATAGATCATAAACGGTTACAATGAACATTTAAAATATGTGTTTAATTTCTAGATCAGATATATTTACAGATTTGTTTTCATAACACAAAGATCAGAAGTTGTTTTTGCTCTATTATTGTGCATGTGTGTGCGTGCATGTATGCGTCCTTATCCAGCCACATATTGCACATGCTTTAGCCAATCAAGTTCAAATTTCACACGTGCATAAATCGGTTTATCTGTTTTAAAGTGAGTAAACTAGCTGGAAGCTAGACTTAAAGCGGGGAGTCGTTACCAACGCATGCGTCAGATGGCCATAGCATGTCATTGTTTACAAACAAGTGTCTACCCATGAGCATTTGCATTCTTAGCATGTAATGTTATCATCGCTTGGGACTCAATTCCCACGCATGCACAGGTGACGAGCCTCCCACTTTAAGATAAAGTGAATGAATTACAGTGGGTGCCGAAATATATATATATATATATATATATATATATATATATATATATATATATATATATATATATATATATATATATATATATATAT